GGAGGAGGAGGAGGAGGAGGAGGAGAAGGAGGAGGACTCTCCCTATTTACTCTGCTACTAAACAGTTGTCTCCCACAACACAGAAAAAATCATACTCACAATTGTGCCAAAAAGTCTTACTTTGAAACAATAAGGCAGGGTTCAACTCACACCAATGTAGCCATAGAGAACACAAGTTTCAGAAAGTCGGAAAAGTGTGTGGGTGACTTAAGTAGAGATAGTTTGTTCACAAACTGGCACTCAGTGTCGATCAATGACTGAGTTTATGTTAGTCCCAGACCAGCTGCAATGTATGAGTGTGTGTGCAAGGGGGGGTGGACATTGTGTGATGCTGTCCTGAGTTTTACATTTTTGTGTGTTTTTGCTATGGCTTTGTCTCTTGTGTGTGTTGTTTCTTTCTATAGCTACAAAAAACGTAGTACTTTTAGGCTGTCTGTCATTTTAAAGTTGTTATTACGCCCGTGGTCCATGCAGAGATTTTTACCTGGCAAAACCATACTTAGGTTCACTGACTAGCACAATGGAAGCATTTTCATCGGAGTATGACCACTGAAATAAAGTGGATGGGGTGGCTGACTGGCATAAGTGTGTGGGGGAGGGGGAGGCAAAAGAATTTGTAATGTAACGTTAACCATAACCTTTGTGTGATCGTGGCTAAAACCACCAGTCTGACAGCACGTTTGTTTGACGTTTGTTACTATAAGAAGTACATCAATTCAAATATCTAGGGGCAGCAATAACAGACGGTGGCAGAAGCAATAATAGAAATTGTTACTTAAGAACAGCATATGCAAAAAGCAAAATGCATAGAAATACACAAACCTTAAACCCAGGCAGTTATATCCCTACCTTTAGGGAAGAAATTGATGTCGTGCTACATCTTTCCAATGTTCCTATAGGGCGCCGTGACCTAGACTTTAACAAAGAAAGAAGAAAACAAAATATCTGCACTTGAGATGTAGTGCTACAGCAGAATGGCCAGAATTAGCTGTAAAACAAAAAAGACTAACAATGAGGTGTGTCAGATACTCCACACAAGACAAACCCTAAGGGAGGTGTGTCAGATACTCCACACAAGAGAAACCCTAGGTCTTAACAAAATGAAGTAAAAAAAACAACAACCCAATACTTTGGTCAAATAAAACGGCACCAGACCATTATGAAGGAAATGATCGGAAGTAAGATGAGGGAGCAATGAGGGAAAGGGTGGACAAAGAACAACGTGGACCGATAACATCAAGGTACGGGGTAGCTTATGTATGACAGAGTTAGCGATCGTAAGCACTGGAGGGGCATAGCACATCAACCTCTGAGCCAGAGATGACACCTCCAGGTATCCAGGTAATGCCATATAACACACTTATTAACCTATTTCAGAGTGGACTCTTGGCTCGATTGTTATCGTCCACACCTGGTACATCATGCTGGACTGCTGCATTGTTGATGGGATTCCCCAATCATACATTCATTTTTTTTAAAAACTGATTATAAGACTAATGAGACCAGATGTTTGTCTTGCGCTACGATTTGTTTAATGTTAGAATGAGCGGTGCAAACACCAGACTCTCTCTCTCACCAAATACAATGGTTGAGTGCAAGACAAAGACTAGAATACCAGATTAGCACAGGGGATTGACACAATGCCATCCATGTAGAAGGGCAGGCTTATAGTAGAGGGAGCACCAGGGCCTCCTAGCCCCGTCTAAGCAGGTGGGGCTTTTGTGTGTGTGTTTGGTTGAGTTTTTTTTGGGTTTTGTTGTAGTAATTTTTTTTTGGGGGGGGGCGTGTTGGTTTTTGTTGTTGATTTTCTTATTTGTTTTTTTGTTTTTGCTTTCATTTTTTCCTAGTTTTTTGTTCGTTCGTTTTGTTTTGCTTGTCTGTCTGTTTTTGTGTTTTTTTATTTGGTGAGGCAGGGCCAAGAGCACCAGTCTATTTTGCCAGCCGCCCTAGTTGCTCACCATTGTCCTGCTGCTGCCACTGATTTCGAAGCTGCGGCCGGGAAAGATGCTTAGATCGTCATTCGTTATATTAGACAGAGATTGTAATTATTGCACACCGCTACAATAGACAATAGTGAGAACCATATAGACCCGACCTCTAAAAAAACAAAAAAAAACAACACCCTAAAAAATTAAAAACCCAAAAACGCTACCCAACACTAGGAGATATTAAAATGCTATTTCGTTCCGTGCAGAGTTTTCATTATCGTCATTTCACACACCACCCTGGATGTTCTGTCGTGCCATCCAATATAGCAGCTGCAGCTCTCGAAAGTTTATTACGCCTTCTTCCTTTTCTACCTCCCCCAGCCTTATCCCTGGGGGGATGGGGGTGGACTAAATCTTAACTCTGTTATGACAAAGCGGGCACACGCCGTAGGCTCTATGTGTAATCGAGTCGAAAGAGCATTGATGAAAATGACAATGGACTTGTCTCTCGTATGAATTAAATCGATGTTTCTCTAAGCTCAATCTCGTATAGTCTGATAACAGAGAGAGAGAGAAAGAGAGAGAGAGAGAGAGAGAGAGAGAGAGAGAGAGAGAGAGAGAGAGAGGGAGAGAGAGAGGAGAGAGAGAGA